AGTTTAGTAAATAATTTTTCAATAGCTTTGACAGTGGATTGATCATTAGTAACTAAGCTGGTTCGTTTGGAACGATTACTAGGTAGATTAAGTAAAGGTGGATCTAAAGGTTGTTTAGTAGATGTGTTTTGAACAGATTCTAAATTAGTTTCTAGCTTGTCTAATTGTTTACCAATTGTGTTTAAACATTGATTCGTATAATTATTTTGTTCAATAACTTTTTTAATTTCATTATCATTACCAGGTAATTTGAAAGGCGAAGCAGGGATTTCAGAACCTTGTTGATTAAGAAGTATTTTCTCTAAAGGAGGATGACTAGAACTAACAGAAGTGGTGTCAGAAGTTTTCCATTTATATTTTGTAATTGTATTAATCTTTTTGTAATATTTGTCAACATATTTTAATAGAGGTAATTCAAAACCATATTCAATTATAAAATCATACCATTGTCGAGCAATGTTGGACATTTGAGCATAATTATATTTAGCATAATATGCATGTCTTTGAGTTTTATTAGCCTTAGATTTGAAGTCAATAAGTAATTTATCTAGATCAGGTTTAAAATCTTTTTTGATTGCCATCAATTGAGGATTGACTGGAGGTATAAATTCTTCAAAATCAATTTGAGTTGGGGAATTATTAGAAGCAATTTCTTCTTCTGGTAAATGTGTATGTGTAGAATAAACAGGTTTACTAATTTGGGTGGAAGTAGTATTATCAATGCCTTTTAATTTATTAGTGGAAGTTTGACCAAGATGGATGTGACTATTTTTCTGAAATAATGGAGTATTAAATATTTCATCTTCAGTTTCAATTGCAGTGGAAACACTAGATGTACTATGACAAGAGGATTGACTTAGAAATTGCATGTTACCATAGATCATATCTACATAAACGTAACGTAACGCGACACCTACATAAACGTAACGTGACACCTATGATATATGGTAACATTTAATTTCCTATATAGGAAATTAAATGTTACCATAGATCATATCTACATAAATGTAACGTAACGTGACACCTATGATCTATGGTAACATTCAATTTCCTATATAGAAAATTGAATGTTACCATAGATCATATTTATATGAAACGTAACGTGACACCAACATAAACCAGCAACATTTTCACATTCAATTTAAAAAAATAAAAACTCATTAAGTTTGCAAAACGTAACGTGACACGTTACGTTACGTTTATGTAGGTGTCACATTACGTTTATGTAGATATTACGTTACGTTACGTTTATATAGGTGTCACGTTACGTTACGTTTATGTAGGTGTCACGTTACGTTATGTTTATGTAAGTGTCATGTCACGTTATGTTTATGTAGAATCTTGTGGAATACATTCCTATTTAAATAGGACTTGAGACTCTATAAGAAATTACACAGGACTTAACCTACTATAAGTGTCTGAAAAAAGACTTATAAATAAGTCTCCCATTATTTTTTATTATTTTGAGTATAGGCTTAAGTTATCCAAGGAGAGCTTCTGTATTTTCACTAGTAAGACAAAATAAGAGCAAGGCAGAGATTGGATTTGGAGGATTAAGCAGCAACTAGGGTTCTTTGTTGTACTCAACTAAGAGCAACTACGAGTTGGCCACTGAACTTTCTTTCAGAAATTTCATCAATACCCTAATTGTGTCTGAGCTGTGTCCCTAACATGTCCAACGAATGAGGTGTGAGAGTTAGTTATGAAGAGGGTCAGTGGTCTGAGTAAATTTCATGTGAAGGATTTGAGAATGATGCTCTATGAAGTTATTTAGTAGCAATTAAAGGAAAAAAGGGATTAAGGATGTGGATGTAAATCTGCTAGGAGTGGGAGAAGTAAAGTGAGAAGTAGAAGGGAGTGCAAGAATTTGATAACCACTATTAATTGTGATCACTGACTTAAAGGGGCTGGAGTGGAGGGAGGTAGAGAAGGGGTTTGTTGATGTTTGTCAATGAATTATTGTTAGTGTCTTGGATTAGTTCATCAGTTTTTTTTTCTTACTTGTCCTTTTTGGCCTCCTTGGAGGGTTGAGCTCTTGTTGAGGTTTGTTCCTTTGGCCTTCTTGGACGCTTGAGCTGTTCTCTTGTTGTGCTTTTGTCTCCTTTTACTCCTTTAATCTAATTCTTATTTTAAAAAAGTTGTATTCAGAGCACAAGATTTCTGCTTACAACAGGGCCTGAGAGAGGTAGTAGCACCTTGCACCTTAGGCAAGACCCACAGTCTCTCTCAATCAAGACTTGTACCTTGTGCTGGGACTTCCATCAGATGGTTTGAATCTTATAACCACATGTAATGCACCTCTAACATAGAGGAGAGAAGATCACAACATCGTAATGAAACTCTTGATCTAACATCTTTTTCCCCTTCCTATTATACTGTCTGCCGCATTCAAACTTGTAGGGGATTGTACCTGGACTAACAGTTAAATATTAGCCCAATATTAGATACGTAATGATTAAAAGATTAGAGGTTTGCATGGACGGAGCATCGTTGTTGGATGGAGCCTTCCATAGGCATAAAAAAGACTGGAAAAAGATACGATTGGTGTAGGTTTTCTTATAGGTTATTTGTCTTAGCTTTATGGTGAACTTCTAGCCCATGTGTGTCTGAGCTTAGGAAGTTTTATTAGTATCAGTCATGCAAGGAGCTTTAGGACTTTTGGTGTTTCCTTGTTTGGACTTCTTAATAAGCCAGCTAATGTGATTATCAACAGAGTTGAATTGGCCTATAAATTTCTAACCTACCTAAATGCTTTTCATTTTCATTTTTTATTTTTATTTCTTTGTTTTGTTTTTGGTTTTGGCAAGTGGGTTGGGGCTAAAATAGCCACAAAAGACAAAACAGGCTATTTTAGCCACAACAAACAAAACATCACATCCAACCCATAATCATTACACTCTTCTCTCACACCAAAAAGCCAAAAAGCCAAAAAGCCCTTCCCAAACCAAGCTTTTTAGCCCAGGCTAAAATAGCCAAAAAAGCCAAAAAGCCAAAAAGCCAACCCACTTCCCAAACGGAGGCTTAATCAGATTGGAACTTTTTACTGCAGATGAGGATTGAGGCTTAGCTCTTTTGGGTGGCATGGATCAAGGCATCTTAAGACATGGCATTCATTTTTGCCGAATTTGGCTTGGACTCAGTTTATATAATGGGTTGTAGACTAGTGTTTGCTTGATCTACCATTGTTCTTTGTTTTTGAGATTAGAAAATTTTCTGATCTGCTGGCATTTTGTTGCACAATCTCTGAGATTGATTAATAATAAAAGTGGATTGGAACTTGATTATTGCAATTGTTAAAAGTTGCTTAGCCCTTTCTAAGTATGTAGACATAAAAATGGATGTGCAAGGATTTGTAGTTTTATCAGTTATACTTGCGATGGTGCAATTCTATTTCTAATATTGATAGTGGTTGAAACTAGGAATGGCAACGGGCCGGGCCGGGGCCGGGGATTGCACTCTCCATCCCTGATCCCCGACGGGGAACCCATCGCCCCCCCCAAACGGGGATCGGATTTCCCCGACCCCGAAAAATCCCTGACAATCATCAACCACCACAACTCAACTCTGAAAATTCAGATCTGAACAATCCCCCCAAAAGCCTCAATCATCAACAATTTAGCAAAAAAGAAAATTTAGATAACTCAACAACCATCAACAATTTAGTATGTTTGTTCATTACACACACAGATCTAAGAAAACCCTAAAAAAAAAAAAAAAATTTAGAGTTGCAAACAGAGTAGATGGAGGGGAAAAGAATGAATGAGAGAGAGAGAGAGAGAGAGAGAGAGATCTGCTAGTCGTCGGAGGTGGCGTCGATTTAGACCGTCGTCCTCACATCTCTCTGCTCGTCGTCGTCGAAGGTGGCGCTCGTCGTCGTCGTCGTCGTAGTTGGAGGTGGCGTCGTCAGAGGTGGGTTTGGTGAAATCTGAGTGTGAGTGAGTGAGTGAGGGAGAGGGAGAGAGATAGTAAGAGGGAGGGAGATGAGAGACGTATCAATGAGTGTGAGAGGAGGGTTTGGTTTTGAGTGAGAGTGAGTGAATGAGGGAGAGGGAGAGAGAGAGTAAGAGGGAGGGAGATGAGCGATGCATCAGTGAGTGAGGGGGGGGTTTGGTTTATATATATATATATATAGAGGGGTAAAATGGTAACTTTACTTCGGGGACTAACGGGGACGGGGATGGGGATGGGGATGGGGATGGGTCGGGGCTGGGACACTTATCCCCGGCCCCGGCCCGAAACTTAACGGGCATTGATTTTTAAATACCATCCTCATCCCATTGGGGATATTTTTCGGAAAAAAACCGCTCAAATCAGGGTAGGGGGATCAAGTCCCTGTCGAGTCAGGTTCAAAATGCCATCCCTAATTGAAACGTGTGGTGGCAGTGGCTATGGTGGGGGTGGTCTTGGTTGTAATGTGGTGTGGTGGTTGTGACAGTGATAGGGGTAGTCTTGGTGGTAGGGTGGCGTTGGTGGTAGAGCTGGTGGGAGGGTGGTTAGTAGCAGTGGTGGTGGTAGCTTGAATTTGACAAAAAAGACAAAATTGCTGTGGCATTGACTCATAAGGATTGCATTTCCATGGTAAGCAATTGTGTTTAGTTTTGTTTGGTTCCAATTTTTTGAATTTAATTTTTTGAAATATAAGGTTTTTGTGTTTTTCGTGTTTTTCGTGTTTTTTTGTTTTTTTTTTGTTTTTAGTGAATTTGTTTAATATTTTAAGCAATTATTTATTTATTTATTTACATTTTAGATGTACCTAATGTCGATGTACTCAAAAAGTAAAATATTTATAAAAAATCAATAAATGTACAAGAATATTAAAACATATTGAATTTTCATATTTAGTGATTTTTTTCAAAGATTTTTTATTAAAATCAAAAAATTAAAAAATTTACTTAAAATATTAAAAAAGTTTACTAAAAATAAAAAAAACAAAATATGAAAAATAAAAAACTGAATTTTTAAAAGATTAGAACCAAACAACGTGATAATGTTGTGATTAAAATTATAAGCCATAAATATAGGAAACACATAGCATAGCATGTTTGTGCTGAATGTACTTCTCTCTATTCACATAATACTGCTTCATTTTGAATTTCCAACATAGATCTGATTTCATAAACTATGCATATGAATCTGGACTCATCATCTTCTCCGAATAGAACATCCTGTCGTTGGACACCCGTAGGAGGAGCTCACACGCTTCCCGAGAAGATGGCCTCTCTGCCGGGGCAGTTTTCGTGCATTTCAATGCTATTTCAAGAACTTGAAATGCAGCAGTTTCTTCATTGGGTAACATTGGTTTCAACACAGGATCTATTAGCTGTTCTCGAGCAGGTCCTAGCATTTCAAGGTGTGACTCAACCCATCTCACAATGTCCATGTCGACGCCAAAGCTCCCATCAGTCGGCATTCTTCCACTCACCAGCTCCATTAACACGATTCCCATGCTGTAAACATCACTCTTCTCTGTTGCCTTTAGAGAATAGGCGTACTCTGAAAAGGGTATACGAAAATGTTTGTTAGAACCACTGAAATATAGGAAAAGTGAAAGTACCGATCTGTTTGTCGTTGATTTTTATTTTTTGTCATATCAACCGTTAAAAAAATATGAAAAACAATCTCAAAAAACGATTTTTGTCAAAATAAATGGTAATTTAAGACAGAAATCAGTTGCATTACCTGGAGCAATGTAACCGTAAGACCCAGCAAACCAAGAGTTTGATTCAGTGTTCACCGAGTCATAATCCTCAACAACTGCTTTTGCCAACCCAAAATCCCCCAAACGTGCCTCCATATCAGAATCCAGCAACACATTGCTCGACTTAATGTCCCTGTGAACGATTTTCGGCACACAATCATGGTGTAGGTACTCCACACCCTGCGCTAGCCCCACCGCAATCCTCACTCTTCCTTCCCAATCAATCATCTTACTCTTCGCTCGGTTCACTGGTTTCTGGTGCAGCCAATCCCACACGCTCCCATTAGCCATGTACTCGTATATCAACAGATTTGATCCGGCCCCTCTCTTGCAACAGTATCCCAATATCTTCATCAGATGCCGGTGCTTCACCATCCCCAGCGTCTTCACTTCTCTCGAAAAACTTTTATCTAGCAGGAAATCGTCTTTTCTCAGAATCTTTTTAACCGCCACGGTTTCTCCAGTGGGAAACTCTGCTTTGTATATAGTTCCAGACCCTCCTGACCCAATTATGAACTTGTCGCTTAGATTGTTTGTGGCTTTCATAATGTCCTCCCATTTGAAATCTCCCTTGACAGAGCCAAAGAGCGGCTTTTTCTGCGCTTGGGAGGAGCTGGATGAGTGAGCACGGTTGACTTCATCACCTTTTGTCAAGAATTCCCGCTTGCGCTGGAAGAAGAGAGTGACTCCCATTATGAGCAGAACAATTGAAATTAGGGTTGAAATAACTGAAATAACTACCACCAGTGATTCACTCGTGCTGGACTGATAACCGCTGTACTTTGCGTTATTGCAGCGATTAAGAGGGGCTCCGCAGAGCTGCAAGTTTCCTGCAAACGCTTCGGCTGGCCAGTGAGAGAATTTTGTATCAAGTTTGCCTTGAAGATCATTGTACGAGAGGTTGAGCTTTCCCAAGCTACTCATATCACCGACTTGTCGAGGGACTTCCCCAACAAGTTTATTGTGGGATAGATCAAGCGCTTCGAGTTTGGACAATGTTCCGATAGAAAGTGGGATTTGACCTGTGAGATTGTTGTAACTGAGGTCTAGAATGCTTTGAAGATTTTGGAGCTGTCCAAGCTCAATGGGGATTTCGCCACTAAAACTGTTCCGAGAAAGTTGAAGATAGTAAAGCTTGCTTAACTCGCCTATGGTGGGAGGAATGGGTCCAGAGAATTGGTTTTGGTCGAGGTTGAGGACGTTGAGAGACGCGAGTTTACCAATTTCAAGAGGGAGAGTACCGGTAAGTGAATTTTGATCAAGAGAAAGCACTAGAAGATTGGTACAATTGAACAATTCAGGGGAAAGTGGCCCGGAAAATTGATTGGAAGAAAGCTTGAGCTCACCCAATCGATGCAAACTTCCCAGCCACAACGGAATTGGACCCGAGAGGAAATTCTTGTTGAGATCAATGTGGGTCAGTTTCTTGCACAATGAAAGCGAAACGGGTATTGATCCGGTGAGTGAATTGCCAGAGAGATCTAACAGAGACAGTTCTCGGATTTCTCCAAATGTCCATGGAACTTTCCCAGTGAAATTATTGTTTCCCAATCTTAGCCTTTCGAGAGAATTCGAATAACCCAACCGGGGTGGAATTTCATGATCGAATCCATTGTTGGTGACATCGAAAGAGAGAAAAGATCGAGAGCTACACAACGGAGCCAGACTACCATTGAATCTGTTGTTTGAAATATTTATCCTCGTCAGGTTCGTGACATTGGCGAGTTCAATGGGGAGATTACCTTCCAGAGAATTGTTGTAAAGCATGAGCTGTTCTAGAGCACGGAGGTACCCGAATGTGGCGGGAATTGTACCCCAAAGACGGTTATCTGCCAAGTCCAGTACAGTTAGTTGTTGGCAGTAACCCAATTTGGCGGGAATTTCGCCCGAGAGATCGTTTTGTCTCAGATGAAGAAAATTCAATTTCCTCAGCCTTCCCATGGTGATTGGAATTTCTCCTGTGAATTGATTTCCGTAGAAATCAATCATTTGCAAGCTAGAGCAGTTTCCGATTTCTACTGGGATTTCCCCTGAGAATTGGTTTTCATAGACGTACAGAGTCTCGAGCTTCCCAAGCATTCCAATCTCGTTTGGCAGATTTCCATTCAAGTTGTTGTGATACAATGCCAGTGTTTGAAGATTGCTGAGATTTGCTATGAATGGAGAGATTGAACCAAAGAGGGTGTTATTGTTGAGAAGAAGATCAGTTAAACCAACTAGCTCATAAATCTCCACTGGTATTGACCCATTGAGAGTGTTATTAGACAAATCAAGCTGCAACAGTGACTGACACTCCCTCAATTCCACTGGAATTTTCCCGGAAAGTTGATTTTCCGAGAGGATCAAATGCTGTAAATTGGTTGTGTTTGAGCATATCTTTCTTGGTATGAAACCAGACAGATTGTTGCTTGACAAAACCATGAAAACAAGCCCACCCATGTTGCCTAACTCTGCTGGGATTTCACCGGAGAGCTTGTTTGCCGACAAATCAAGATTCTGAAGATTACCCAACTTTCCCAATGACTTGGGAATTGTACTTTCCAGCTGATTCCCGAGAAGATTCAGATAAACGAGTTGACGCAGTTCACCTAGCTGGCTTGGAATTTCCCCGGAGAGAGAATTGTTGGCGAGGTTGAGAAGTTGGAGATTCTTGAGTCGACCCAACTCGGCCGGGATTGATCCATTGAGACTATTGACTGCAACAGTGAACGCAACAAGCCCTGAACAGTCCCCGAGCTCGGCTGGAATCGGTCCTTCCAGTTGATTCTGCTGCAGAATCAATTTCTCTAGCTTCCTGAGTCGGCCGAGTTCGGGCGGTATTGGACCGGTGAGATTGCAAGAGGCTAAACCAAGAGCGACCAAATTGACAAGTCCACCAAACGAGGCTGGGATTGCACCGGTGAGGCCATTGTCCCCGATTCGGAGGACTTGTAGGGTTGAAAGCGAGCCGAGTTGAGTCGGGATGGGACCTGAGAGTAGGTTAGAAAAGAGAAGCAAAGATAGCAATGAGGTAATGTTAGAGAGAGTAGGTGGAATGGGACCCGAAAGCTGATTAGAAGAAAGATCAAGGTGGAGCAGGTTATTTAGACGGCCGAGTGCCGGTGAGATTGACCCGCCGAGTGATGAGTCGGACAGGTTTAGACCCACCAATCGGACTAAGCCATCAACCGAGTTTGAGTTTGCGTTTGTTGCGCAGGAAACACCTCTCCATGAACAGAAACTTGGGTTGGCTTCAGACCAGTCTTTGAGTGCATTTTGTGGGTCTTCAACAAACGACTCTTTAACCTCCAAAAGTATTCTCAGAGTTGATGATGATGATGAGTGTGAGTCCGAGTCCGAGTCATTGCACAAGACATACCCACATGAAAGGCCAATCAAGAGAACTACAAGAAGTAGTAAAACTGGTTTTTTCATGGTCATTTCTTTTGTTGCAATGAAGCTCAAACCCAACAGCAATATAAAAGCTCTGACTTAGAAGAATGGTGTGCATTTAGAAAAATTATCTATCTATACTATATATTAAGTAAAAGAAGGTTTTTAATCCCAAGGCTTGTGGAAGTTTCAATTTCCTAATCTTAATTTCTTAATTTTCTAATTTTTTGATTTAAAAAAAAAAATCTCAGCATTTATTGACTTTTCCCAACCCAACGTCAGCATTTATTGACTTCTCCCAACCCACAATGTCTTTTGACTTCTCTCATAAATATTGCAACGCCCTTTTCAATTTCTCTCATACACTATGGTTACACACACACAAAAAAAAAAAAAAAAAATTTAGCTATAGATCTCAAAAAGAAATAACATCTAAATTTGAATTATGATTCAAAAAAAAAATATTAAAACTTGCATTCATTTTCTCTTTCCCAAAAAATCATATAATATTTTTTATTAAAGTTGTAGATATCCACCTATATTTTATATATTATATTATAACATAACAAAAAAAAACTATAAAACTAAAAAAAATCTTTAAAGTTTATCTAAATAAACTTTAAATCAATAAAGCTCACATGTCTATCACATATCCCCCAAAAAATCATATAATATTTTTTTTATTAAAGTTGTAGATATCCACCTATATTTTATATATTATATTATAACATAACAAAAAAAAGTATAAAACTAAAAAAAAAATCTTTAAAGTTTATCTAAATAAACTTTAAATCAATAAAACTCACATGTCTATCACATATCTAACTCACATCGTAACTTACTTAAATAATAATAATTAAAAACAAATGGAAACCACAGATAAATTAAATTAAAAAAAAAAGATACCCACAACTCCATCTTAAACAAATTGAAAAAAAAAATACCCGAATAAAAACCATACAAAAATAAAAATAAAAATAAAAAGATATATCTATCTATTTATCTATATATATATATTAAGAAAAATGGGGTTTCTAACCCTCCAAGTCTTGTGGGAGTTCCAATATTCCAATCTAAATTTCCTAATTTTTTATTTTAAAAAAAATCTGCATTTTTTAACTTCTCCCAACCTCCAAGTATAAAAAAATTCTTTGAAAAGTCCAACGCATATGAATTCCTTGAAAAGTCCCAACACATACGATTATTATCCATTATAATAACACTTTAATACATTAAGAACAATCACAAAAAAAAAAATTCATTGAAAAGTCCAATACATATGAATTTCTTGAAAGTCCAACACATATGATTATTATCAAAATATTACACTTTAATATAATATAAAAAAAAAGACATTTAAAAAAAAAGACATTTAAAAATTACAATTCACATATATAGAAATAATTGTGAAGTACATATGAATTCCTTGAAAAATCTAACACATGATTATTATCCCTCATAATAACATTTTAATGCATTAAGAACAAGCATGAAAAAAATTCATTGAAAAGTCCATCACATATGAATTCCTTGAAAAGTCCAACACATATAATTAGTATCAAAATATTAAATTTTAATATAGTACATAAAAAGAAAAAAAAAAAGACAAAGCGGTGAAACACAACCCGTGCATAGCATGGGTGATATGCTAGTCTATACTATATATTAAGTAAAATGGGGTTTTTAACCCCAAGGTCTGTGGAAGCTCCAATCTCCTAATCCTAATTTTTTAATTTTTTGATTTAAAAAAAAAAACTCAGCATTTATTGACTTCTCCCAACCTACAAACCTTTTTGACTTCTCTTATAATTACTGTAGCACCCTTTTCAATTTCTTCCATGCACTATGGTTAGTGATGAGATTGCTAAATTATCTTAAATAAATTGAAAAAAAAATTAAATAGAAACAACACAAAAATAAATGAGATAAGAATTTAGATATAGATCTCAAAAATCTAAATTTGAATTATGATTTAATAATATAATTATGTATTTTTTTTATGTATATCTATCAAAATTTTAAATCACTTAATGGGACAAATTAATCAATTTTCCAAAATTATTGATTTTTAATTTACAAAATAGATTAAAAAAAACTATTGACTGATTTATTTATTTTTAATTTACAAAATAAATTAAAAAAACTATTAACTGATTTATTTATTTAATAACCAAAATATTTCATAATCTCTCCCTCCTAATCTCTCTCACAAATTTTCAAAAAAAAAATATTAAAACTTGCATTCCTTTTCTCTTCCCCAAAAAATCAGATAATATTTTTTATTAAAGTTGTAGATATCTACCTATATTTTATATATTATATTATAACATAACAAAAAAAACTAAAAAAAAAAAATCTTTAAAGTTTATCTAAATAAACTTTAAATCTTATCTGAATAAACTTTAAATCAATAAAACTCACATACCTATCACATATCTAACTCACATCCTAACTTACCTAAATAATATTTGTGATTTTATTGCATTATTATTGTTGATGTAGTGTGGCTGTAATTTTTGAATGAAAAATCAAAAGCTTTCTCAACTTTTCTCCGATGGAAAACTTTGGTTGAGAGACAAAAAAGAATACTAAATTAAGACTCTTAGGCTATGTTTAGATCATAGGTTTGAGGAGGAATTGGTAAAGAGAAAAAAAAAAAGTGGAAAAAAAAAAAACTTTTTTTTTTAACAAATCTCTTCTCAAATCCTTAATTCAAACAAACTTTTCATTTTGAAAGCTACAACAGTAGGTGTTTTGAAGAAGGCATTTGTAAAAGGCATTTATTTATGTCAAAATTGTTTAATTTGTCATTTTAAATGTTTAATCATACTATTTTTTTATTTATAAATTTTATATAAGAACAATGCTATGGGTGACTTTTTTTATTTTTGTATCTCCTCTTATATGAATATACTCAAAATTAGTTTATTTATTTAGAGATAATTATTAGAAAAAGTATTTGTGATTTGATTTGATTTGATTTTGGTTTTTAAAGTACCAATTATTGATAATGATTAGATTATATTTTGAAAAAAAAAATTGTAATTGATTTTTTTAACTTACTGTGTTTTTTGAAAAAAAATTGTAAGTGATTGTAATTTGTTCAATGGTTCTAAATAATCTCAATTTGAATTTCTAAATTTTTTTATTAAAAAAAAAACTCATCATTTATTGATTTGGTCAAAATCCCCAGATCAACATTTATTAACTTTTTTCAATCCACATGTCTTTCCACATGCTTGTATTTATTGATTTGGTCAAAATCCCTTGATCAGCATTTAAAATCCCCTCATACAAATAATTATTGATACAATCTGTGTATAATTACTACAATACCCTTTTCAATTTCTCTCATACACTATGATTAGTGATAAGATTGTTAAATTATTTTTATAAAAAATCTTAAAAAAACATAATTTATATATTAAAAAAAATCTAAAACAAATATAAATATTTATAATTATCCCGTGCATAGCACGGGTGATAGGCTAGTTATATATTAAGCAAAAGGGGGTTTTTAACCCCAAGTCTTATGAGAGCTCCAATCTCCCAATCTAAATTTCTTGATTTTTTTATTTAAAAAAAAAAACCTTAGCATTTATTAACTTCTCCCAACCCCCAAGTCTTACCCTTATAATAACACTTTAATGCATTAAGAACAAGCATAAAAAAAATTCTTTGAAATCATACACACATGAATTCCTTGAAAAGTGTCAACACATATGATTATTATCCCTCATAATAACACTTTAATGCATTAAGAACAAGCATAAAAAAAAAATTCTTAAAAAGTTCAACACATATGATTATTATCAGGTTAATATGAATTCTTTAAAAAGTCCCAACACATATGATTATTATCCCTCATAATAACACTTTAATGCATTAAGAACAAGTATAAAAAAAATTCCTTAAAAAATCAAACATATATGATTATTGTCAAAATATTAAACTTTAATATAATATAAAAAAAGAAGACATTTAATTCCTTGAAAGGTCCAACACATATGACTATTATCAAAATATTAAATTTTAATATAATATAAAAAATAAGATATTTAAAAAAAAAAAAAGACATTTAAAAATCACAATTCACATATCTATACCATCTATACTATATATTAAGCAAAAAATGGTTTTTAATCCCAAGTCTTGTGAGAGCTCCAATCTCCCAATCTAAATTTCTTGATTTTTTTATTTTAAAAAAAAACTTAGCATTTATTAACTTCTCCCTACCTCCAAGTCTTACCCTCATAATAACATTTTAATGCATTAAGAACAAGCATAAAAAAAATTCTTTGAAATCAAACACACGTAAATTCCTTGAAAAGTGCGAACACATATGATTATTATCCCTCATAATAACACTTTAATGCATTAAGAACAAGTATAAAAAAAAATTCTTAAAAAATCCAACACATATGATTATTATCAAAATATTAAATTTTAATATAATATAATATAAAAAAAGACATTTAATTTCTCGAAAAGTCTAACACATATGATTATTATCAAAATATTAAACTTTAATATAGTATAAAAAAAGAAAAAAAGAAGACATTTAGATATATGATAGAATTATGTGTTATGATATGTATGATTTTTTGATTTGTTATACAACCAATAATGTCGACTCCAATTTTATTATCATATCATTTTAGGTGAATTTATGAGTTTTAAATATTTCTTCCGAATTCATTAAAAAAAAAATTACAATGTGTAGTTGTTTTCAATAGATAAATATAAAACAAATACTAAGATAATTATCTCATTTAAAAAAAATACTAAGATAAGTCACTGAACTAATAAAGAAGCAGAAGAAAATACATACATATACAAATAACTAATTTATTAATACATAAATCATACTCTCACAACAACTGATCAATTTTATTAATAAGTAAATTATTAAGTAAATTAATAATTTTTAATGATATGAAAAAGATTTCAGTTAACCATTTTGTTAATAAATAAATTATTAAGTCAATTAATAAATTTTTAATGATATGAGAAATATTTTTCAATAAACAATTTTGATAATTTATTATTGCATAGGATAATAGTTTTTTTTTTCTTTATTTCT